ATGTGATTGCAGTGGAGACTGACCGTGGCACCATCAAGTGTGCAAATTTCGTTAACTGTGCTGGACAGGTAAACCTCAAAGTGGGATTCTAAGATAAAAATCATCATCAACAAATCCCAGTGCCAGCTTAGACTGGAGAGTTTGTGAGGGAAAAATCTTTTTAAGCATTTAGTAATGATCTTAATTTTTATATAAGGCTGCATCTGGTACTCACCTACATTATACTTATAAATAGCCATACTATGACTAAACAAAATAGGAGGATCTAAAAGAGAGATTTCGGTGGTCCTCAGTTGTGTATCATGCTTATATCATTAGTGGAGCCAGTTGGCATTTTAATCAAGGTGGCTGAGGTGAGCATTAGTACCTAGTTTTGAGTCCCTGTTGTACATAACTAATCTTATTTCATAAGTTGGCACAGTCAGTCTACAGTATCTATGTTCTCAGCAGCAGGTGGCCATATTTGTTCTGTCTCTCTCTGCTCCAGTGGGCTTACGAACTGGGTCAGCTCAGTGAAACTAAGGTGTCTGTTCCTCTTCATGGCTGTGAACACTTCTACCTCCTCACCAAACCTCTTCAGGAGCCACTTCCACCCCACACCCCAGGTCTCACACATCAAAAGGATTTTAAGTTTTGCTCGCTTGTATTGTTTTGCCAGTTAAAATTGATTCTGTAATAGAAGAATGTATTGATTGGTTTCTTGGCAAATTCACTGATAGAGTAACATATTGCACAGTACATAACTGCAACAAGAATCTCCTAGCCTTCTAAGATGAAGTCCCTAGATGATGCCCAGTGACATAAGGTGATGGCTGCTCTGTGAGTGTATGCCATTATAGCACAGTTCTCACATTAAATGTAGATTCTTGTAGTAAGTACCTTCATTTAATGAGTAGGTTTACCATTGTTAACAAGCACGTCAGTGCTAGTAATGGTAATGGGAAAATTTCTAGAAATACAGTACACCTTAGAACATAAATTCACTTAATTCTTGAGACTTTGCAGGTTGTGTGTGTTTAAATGAGAGAGAGAGAGAGAGGGTATAAGGTGTGCTGGATTTGGAGTTCAAGTTAATGCAGTGAACATCTTTCTTTCCCTGAGATGATTTACCCATTTAGCTCCCTATAGTAATTCATGGTATACCTGAAACATGCAAAATGAAACTCATTATTTACTATCAAAGTCAATTTTTCTGCATTGTTATATGTCAGTGTCTGCTACATGGGGTCGCACGGTGGCTGTAAACAAGGTGGTCTGACTGAATCTGTCTGTTGTTTCCAGTGGTGATCGATATGGATGGCAGGATATATGCACGGCCATGGCAGGGGGGTCTTCTGTCAGGGGGCTTTGAGAAGAACCCCAAACCCATCTTCACTGAGGGCCGCAACCAGCTGGAGATCCAGAGCATGCAGGAGGACTGGGACCACTTTGGTAAAGGAGAGGGGTAGGGAGACAGGGATGGGAGTGTTCAAATAGAAGCAGAAAGGGGAGGAAAGCTTACAAGTTTACATAGCTGTAAAACAGCAGTTTGTCATCCACTGGCATTCCCGGGCACCTTTTGTTGTTTTTAATATTTTCATGGAAATGATCATATGTGTTGTTTGGCCTTGGCATTATTCTACTAATCTGTAGCCCCTTTTACACTGCCCATTCAGTGTGGGAGCTTTTTGCCAGTTTTCCACCCCATCATTCTGTATAAAAGTTACAATACTGGCATGGGGGTGGCAGTGTTGACCCTCCAACATGCTGCAACGTGAGGTAGTGTTTTTGCCAAGATGACTTCACCCAACCTCCTTTATAAGGGGGATGAGGCGGAATCGGGGATTGGAGGTCCGAAAGAGAGCTAGAGAGTCAATGGGGAGAGGGAGCGATGTCAGCGAGAACAAAGTTCATTTGTGATTGTCTCATAGTGTTTTGTTCTAAAGTGCGAATAAAGACAGCCACAGCTCTGCACAACCTTGTGGCAAAGATTTTATGTGATTACAGCCAAAACACAAACCTCTGTCTCTTCTGCTGTGTGTGTGTGTGTGTGTGTGTGTGTGTGTGTGTGTATGTACTTCTGCCCTCAAAGAGACACACGGATCATATAGTACTATAATTCTTGATTTCTGTTTATAAATATATCAAATAACAGGTTTTCATTTTCAAAATAAAAATCTATTGGCCGCCAAGCATACAGACCTCGGACATTATGTTTAGCATCACGCTTCTAGTAACCTACTGGGATTCCAGCAGCTGTGTAAAATAAACACCGGAGCACCAGTTTGCCAGCTTTCTTACATTTAATGTAAAAGGGGCTGACAGTAAATCAAAAAGCTGCCTTGAAGAATGGTCAAAACACAGGCAGTGTGCTACCATCTCTGAGATTCCTCATGCAGCTTGTCAGGTTGTAGAGCCCAGCCAACACTGAACTGCAGCCATGCAGAGTCAAGTTGATCTGTTATGGGGTACTCTGTAGTTGAAATTCCACTTGGTTGCACTTTACATTATTGCCTCTGGGTCAGCTTTGATGAAGGAAAACCTCCTGGACTGCTCATGGATAACATGGATAAAGTGTGCAGTTCCTGCTGTTAAGCAGCAGCTTTAGCTTGTTGAGTCTCTCACCTATCACAATACTTGACGCTTTTAGTCAAGTGTTGGTTCACAGGACATCTGGTTATGATTGCTTGGAAATGTGAAGGTTGATGGTACAGCTGGCTGCTTTATCATGGCATGTTTTTTTCACAATGATTATATGAAAGAATTACTGATTTAAAAATGCAGTATATTGCTATGGAATTTCTTAAAAGGAAATATATATTAATTGTAAGGTTTTCTACTTCCAGAGCCAATGCTCAGTTCCCTGCTGAGGAGAATGCCTATTCTTGAGTCAGCTGAGATCCATCAGCTGGTCAACTGTCCAGAATCCTTCACCCCTGACATGCGCTGTCTGATGGGGGAGACGCCGGGTGTCTCTGGCTGCTATGTGCTGGCGGGGATGAACTCCTCTGGCCTGGCTTTTGCTGGAGGAGCTGGGAAGTAAGCATTGGTATAAGGGTATTTGCTAGAGTATTTCCTACTTAGTGAGGACAAACACTGGCAAATGGTTTTGAAGACTAGACCTGCTCTGTATTCTGCATCATAATACTGTATTCAGGAGAGTGCCCAAAATATCTTCTACTCAGAAAATTATTCAGCCTCAGTTACTTAACTGTAGTGATCAGCACTGTGTTGTGGACAGGTTTTGCTTGCATCACAGTGAAGTACAAATGGCATGTGTGGTTTGGAATACAGGTACCTGGCAGAGTGGATCACCTATGGCTATCCCACTGCCAATGTCTGGCCACTGGACATCAAACGCTTTGGCAACCTGCAGAGCAGCAGAACTTTCCTGAGACATAGAGTAATGGAAGTCATGCGTGAGTACCTTTTGGTGTTCAGTTAATGTTTTTAGTTAAGTATGTGAAAGATACCAATCTTAAGATGAGTAACAAAACAAAATGTGGAAAGCTTGACAGTGTCTGCATACTTTATGAATCCACTGTACAATCATACACTAATTAGTACAATTCAGGTACTAATTTAACGTACCTGAATGTTTTTTCCTCATCAATCTACACACAATACTCCACAGTGACAAAGTAAAAACAGTTTGTTTGCATTTCATTCCAATGTGTCAGTGCATTTCATTTAATGCACTGGATATAATTAGGAAAGTTACACACCTGTCTATATAAGGTCTCAGAGCTGATGGTGTATGGCAGAGTGAAAACAAAGCCACGAGGTTGAGAGAACCTCAACTGCACAGACCTGTGAGACAGGCTTGTGTCAAGACATACTGTAGATCTGAGGAAGGATATAAGAACATTTCTGCAGCATTGAAAGTGCCCAAGAGCACGGTAGCCTCCATCATCCTCAAATACAAGAGATTTGGAACCACTAACAGTTTTCACATATCTGGCTGCCCAGCCAACCTGAGTAATTAGGGATGAAGGGCCTCAGTCAGACAGGTAACCAAGAACCCAGTGGTCGCTATGAATGAGATCCAGAGTTCCTTTCTGGAGATGTGAGAACCTTGCAGAAGGACAGTCATCAGCCCAGCACTCCACCAATCAGGCCTCTGTGGTGGAGTGGCCAGATGGAAGCCAGTCCTCACTACAAGGCACATGACAGTTGGCTAGGAGTTTGCCAACCCGAACAACTCTCAGACCATGAGGAGAAAAATCCTCTGATGAAACAAAGATTGAATTATTTGGCCACAATTCTTAATGGAGTGTGTGGAGAAAACCAGGCAGTGAACATCACCTCACTAATACAATCCCTACAGTCAAACACAGTGGTGGCAGCATCATGCTGTGGGAATGTTTTCTGCCCTGGGACTGGGCGACTAGTCAGGATTGAGGGAAGGATGGATGCAGAAAAATACAGAGCAAATCTGAATGAAAACCTTCTCCAGAGTGCTCAGGATCTCAAGCTGGGGCGAAGGTTTACATTTCAACAAGACGACTTGAAGCAAACAACCATGAAAACACAGGATTGGCTTTGGGAAAACTTTGTGAAAGTCCTGGAGTGGCCCAGCCAGAGTCTGGACCTGGACTCAATAGAGCATCTCTGGAGAGGCCTGAAAATGGCTCTGCACCACTGCTTCCCATTCAGCCTAGTTGACCTTGAATGATTAAGCCAAGAAGCGCGAGAGAAAATTCCAAAAGAAAGGTGCCAAGCTCACAGCTCACAGTATTGTGTGTAGATTGACAAGAAAAAAATGAATTGAATCCATTTTAAGATTAATCTGAAATGTATAGCACCAAAGTGTGGAAAACTTGAAAGGGTCTGAAAACTTTCTGAATCCACTGTGCATGGTTTTGCTCTTCTGTGATTCCAACGTGTCTGTGTGTGTTTTCCTAGCTCTTTTGTATGAACTGAAGGTCCCTCGCTGGGACTTTCAGACTGGGCGTCAGCTGAGGACCAGCCCTCTCTATGATCGTCTGGATACCCAGGGAGCTCGCTGGATGGAGAAACATGGCTTTGAGAGGCCCAAATACTTTGTTCCTCCAGGGAAAGGTATAAATTACAGAACAGCAGCACTACAAACTCCATTCCTTTTATCTCGAATCTTTAGTGACACTCAAAAATCAAAACAGTTGTATTAATTTCATTAAGTCAAGTGCATTAAAGGTCTGAAAGTGTAGATGTAGCTCTTCATATGATCAGTACACACATGCCTTGATGTTAGATTACCAAGACTGTTTGCATAAAACTAATAACTGTGCTGTTATAGAACTTCCTGGGAGTCATACTAATACTTTGAAAGTGCTTGCTCTCAAGTAAATTTAAGAAGACTAAAATGTGACCAGTATTTCATGAGTGGCTTCTGCTAACTTTTTCTGTGGCTATAACGGTTAACAGCAATTATTACTATTATTAGCATTACTTTGTAGCTATAAGTTGGCTTGGACGTGAGTCTAAAAATCCTGGGTGGTGTGGTGCGATGTGCTATCATGGCTTAAGAGAATCCAGGTTTTCATTACAAGGTAGTATCTTCTTACACTCGTATGATCAACTCCATCTCAGACAGAAGGTTTACATATCACTAAACTCAAATGCTGCTTGTTGGAAATAAAACCCTGTATACCTGGTAGCAATGATGTCACATGATTGAGAGTAGATCTGGCTAATTAACAAAATGTTCTCTGTTATCATGGTTTTATGTGTCAATGCTCAGCAATCACAAATTTAGTGTACAGAGACCATTTCTCTCATAGATACATTTTTTGATGATATATGAGATGGCTAGTCAGATAACCAGCCAGTCCTGTGAACTACAGCAGATCTGTACAGAATGTAATGGTTCATGTCACAGTTTATGAGACTGTCACGACTCAAGGCAGCTCTACAGCCAGCTGTCATCTATGTTACTAACTAAAACAGATGTTTTTTGTGCACATTGTAAAACTCAATTTCATGAGCCCAAACTGAACCACTTGACATGTAAATGTCAACTGTTTTAGCAATGTTATGATGATTATATTTATCAGAATACAACTAGTAAATATGTACACAGTATTAAAAAAACACACAAATGTCAGCAAAAGTGAGCAAACAAACTGGATACTCCAGATATGGTATCAAAGCTGATCTAAAGAAATGTGAAGAACCTGGAGCGGTCAAGGGTGAAAATAGAAGTGGAAGACCAAGAAAACTGTCAGAATCTGATGAGAAGTTTCTCTGAGTTTCTTCTCGAGAGTGTCAAGGATAGCTAAGAGTTGGACAGCAGTGATAGCTGGAGACAGCAGTATAAGCCGACAGAAGGAAAATTATCAGAATTCAGAATGGTTTTAGACCCTGTATGTAGTGATGTTTAAAGCTGTATATGATGATTGTTACATAAACTACAATGCAATTAGTTTAAATGTGGTTAATCTTTTAAAGAAAACAGCAATGATGATTGATTATTAAAATTAGATTGACAATTTTCAGATTGCTTCATCAAAACACTTTAGATACATTAGTCAGTTATTTACTCATATCATATACATTGTATCTTGAGTGTCCTATTTTGGGAAATTAACCAATGTCAGCCAAATACTGTGCAATGCAAATATGGTCTTAAGTGGCCAGTGTCACAGCTTTTATGGGTTATTTCAGACAAAACACAACACTTCCTCAGAGCCAGAGTATAGTGGTTCCTAAAACTTTCTCAGTAGAGTAACATCTGAAGGTACGTATAAAGAGGTAGTTGCCTGTAACTGCATGCTGATATTGTTCGGGAAGATTTGGGGTCTTGTCCTGAATTAATGACATGTAAGAGGGATATCTGCAGGGAACTCTGTTTGCAGGTTCATGGTAGTTAATTACTGACTGAATATCTCCACCAAAAAACCTCAAGCAGTGTTTGGAGCTTTAAAATATTTCAAATATGCCACCTTAGTGTGAGGTGCCAAATAGGAAAATATATTTTCCCTGAAGCCTGGTTTTGTCTGTGTTTGTAGATCTGCTCTCTCTGGACCAGAGTAAGACCTTCTACAAACCAGACTGGTTTGACATTGTTGGAGCAGAAGTGAAATGCTGCAAAGAGGCTGTCTGCGTCATCGACATGTCCTCCTTCACCAAGTTTGAGCTGACTGTAAGTCATGATGTACTATGGTCATTGCTGGTTCACACATGGCAGAAAACCGCTGCTGTGGCACACATTGTTCAGGGGGTCACACTCAGTGAAGTCAGCTTTTCTATTTGTGATACAGTGGCTACGGAAAGTATTCAGACCCCCTTAAATTTTTCACTCTTTGTTAATTGCAGCCATATGCTAAAATCATTTAAGTTCATTTTTTTCCTCATTAATGTACTCACAGCACCCCATATTGACAGAAAAACACAGAATTTGACATTTTTGCAGATTTATTAAAAAGAAAAACTGAAATATCACATGGTCATAAGTATTCAGACCCTTTGCTCAGTATTTAGTAGAAGCACCCTTTTGAGCTAATACAGCCATGAGTCTTTTCGGGAATGATGCAACAAGTTTTTCACACCTGCATTTGGGGATCCTCTGCCATTCCTCCTTGCAGATCCTCTCCAGTTCTGTCAGGTTGGATGGTAAACGTTGGTGGACAGCCATTTTCAGGTCTCTCCAGAGATGCTCAATTGGGTTTAAGTCAGGGCTCTGGCGGGGCCATTCAAGAACAGTCACGGAGTTGTTGTGAAGCCACTCCTTCGTTATTTTAGCTGTGTGCTTAGGGTCATTGTCTTGTTGGAAGGTGAACCTTCGGCCCAGTCTGAGGTCCTGAGCACTCTGGAGAAGGTGTTCGTCCAGGATATCCCTGTACTTGGCCACATTCATCCTTCCCTCGATTGCAACCAGTCGTCCGGTCCCTGCAGCTGAAAAACACCCCCATAGCATGATGCTGCCACCACCATGCTTCACTGCTGGGACTGTATTGGACAGCTGATGAGCAGTGCCTAGTTTTCTCCACACATACCGCTTAGAATTAAGGCCAAAAAGTTCT